TTCGCTGCTTCTGCTTTCTCAGGTGCCATGATTTGGCAGCTTGGTGTGGAAGGTGCACCGGATTACGATGGCTACACCGTATACGCGAATGCCACCGAAAATGGACGAGGCAGGCCAGCATTCTCGAAGCCCCATGGCTACGATCAGGACACCTCGGTGCGAATGGGATTGCCGACTGTCTGCTGCATATTGACACTGCTCTGACCAAGTGACGTGATGTGTTCTGCGCAGAAATTATGTCCGTCCCTCCAACAGCAGGAGTGCTAGGCCCGGGACAGGGCGACACAAGAAAGAAATTGGCCAAAACACACGGTCCTGAAAATCGTGTACCGTGTTATGTGTGTAGAGATCGTGTACCAGTCGTATACTGATCACAATGTCGTATACATGATTGATTAAGTCGTGTAGTGTGTATAGGTGCACGAAGTTGTACATCTTACCGCCATGAAAAGCACGACAAATAACACGATTTTACACGACTTAAACCTCGTATCAAGTAGCAGCCGTGTAAAATTGTGCTCCAAAGTACACGATTTTTACGACTGTACAGTGTAAACCTGCCCGCTTTTACCTGTGCGAGGCAGGGTGGCCCGGAATGTGGCGCTGTAGGTTCATGCTCCGCTCTTGGTTGAGTCGCAATTCCTCCACCCAACATTTGAACAAACACATGAAATCACCCTTTCTGACGAATATGAAATCTGAAACAATGTCAATTTGTGCAGCAACGCGTTGCAGCCCAAATTGACTTTGTTCTGGCGTACGTCAGAACTGCTCGAGCATGTTTTATGCTTTAGAGGCAACATAACCAGAGGAATAGCTTATTGGCGCTTGGTTCTTCAATTTCTGCAAATGCCTGGCATACTCGATGTCGAGACACCATGGAAAGGCTCAATTTGAGCATAATATGCAAGCTCATTGATGTGCATGCAGGTAGAGGCGGCAGATAGCCTGGAGTTCAGGAACTGGGGAGAAATGATGGAATGCCTTAAGGAGAGGGAGACCAGAGATGGAGAGGAGTTGGGAAAAACTCTCGAATTGCTTAAGAACTTTCTGGCTGCATAAGAAGGCTGATGCAGAAGCTGAAGACGATGGCAGCTTCTGGCAGTCCTGGGGTTGCTCGGAGTGACTTTTCAGGTGCAGAAATATATTTTCTGAACCTGGATTGTTTGCGGTCATGATAATGGTACACTGCACATATGGCGAGCGGCGACAGTGCCCAAGTTGGTGGCAAGATTGCCGTACCCTCTGCATACCCACGTGCACATCTGCATCCATAGGAGCTGATGTGCGATTTCAGAGGTAACGATCATGTGGTTTCGGGATCCGTTGCAATTGAGACGGGGGATCGGAGGGCTGGCAAGGCGTTGTAGGAAATGGCAACGACGAGAACGTTGAATAGACTGGTGTCCGTGAGCTAATCAAAGACACGTGAAATCGTGGTGCAACAAAGGGGGGGAATGGGTGTGGACGGGGGAGGGATGGTAAAGGAGGTAGCGCAGAGAGACAGGGAGTGGGTACTGGGTATGGATCTGAGCAGCTGGCGCAGAGGCAAGTAATGGGTTAGCTGTGGGAGGGGGTGACAGGATAGAGGGCATGGGGAACAGAATGGGATGGCATTTAATTAGGAAATTCGGCTGATCCGGGTCGTGGCAAGCATCACTTTGGGGGACATCCCGACGAGAAGCGAATTGATATTGGACAATGTCATATTCAAGACCCCGTTTGTGACAACGATCTGATCCAGCCAGGGGCAATGTGTCGCGCTCCATCCGGCCGGTGGCGCAGCCACGGTCTTGGATCGGGGGGACGGTAGCGAACGTGTACATCATTGCATATGCCTGACTCACCGCAGTTGCCTATGAGGGGCACAAGGCTGGTTCCATGCATCAAGCAATGTCGCACCCAGTTGTTTATTTAATTTTCAGGCAACCGCTGCGTGTAAGTCGATTTCCTGCATTTTCTGATTCCCAACAAGGGAAATCCAAGCAAACTAGACGTGAAAGCGATGGGGTGAACGTTATGCTCGTAACCGGAAGCCTTGAGCCCTGCAGTCATTTTAGCATAGGAACGAACCACAACTTAGCGCATGGGAGTAGTGTCGACATTTTGACATATTCTTTGTCCGCCGTGCTCATTTTGGCGACTTGCAGTCTAATTCACAGCCCTCAGGACGACAGGGTGTAGCAGTGCGCAGTTCCCAGCTCAACTCTTCACAATGCGCACGTCACCCAGTAGAGAAATGTACAACTGGTCAGGCACATATTGGTGGTGGGCGGTGTTGGGGTCGCCAGTGCACGTTACATTCAGGTCCATTCATCAGATTGAACTCACTCCCCATCTGGACCAGGGTTCATTGCGAGAGACACAAAAAGCGATCATATACCTACGTCCATTCAGCCTACCATCCAAGTCGACCAAACATAACTGCGAAGTGGATACGATTTCTGGCTGAAACGGTATGACAACTGATGCATGGCGGTCGGTCTTTGGGGGATGTTGAGCAACAGATGCTTGAAGAAAACTAACATTTGATGACTGTCGAATGCAGCTTAAAATAGGAGTGCGAATTTGGATGGAGTTGCAACATGGGATATCGATCCACTCAGTGTGAATCATTTCACTGATAGCGAAGGAGTCCTTCGCTATCCTTCAGAGGAATGTACGGATGCGGGGCTCGCCTGGGGTGCACTTACAGCTTTACGCATTCTTGGTCTTTGTGGCGCAAACACGGTTTACTTACGCACGTTCAAACGCAAGAGTAATATTTGAATTTTTGCGCATAGAAAAGAGTAAAATGCGTAAATACACGACCTGGGTACATGCAGACTCGGGGAGCCCGGGGAGTGGCAGCCTAACGCTGGAGTGGGGAGAAAACGACCTTTCGTTCGGCGACGTCTTTGCACTTGCCCAGGGCGAGGTAGACGATGCGTATCAGATGCTCAAGGGGACGGAAGACTGATCGCTGTTTGCGACTTCTCACGCAACCTTTGGGTCTCAGGGCGCTGAAAGCATACATAAATAATACGTAGCATAGGTGCTTTTATGTTGATGCATTTTTTACGCATAATAAAGTAACCATGAAAATGGTGCCTTAAAAGTAAAGTACAACCCTAAATTGACGGTGTCAATTAATATGGTTTGCCTTCTCTGTGAGTGGCAGCGTGGAGGCCCTGCCAAGGTGCCGGTATTGTCCCATCCACAAATGGATCCTGATCACGTCCTTGGAGCCACTGTTGTGTTGCTATGCTAAGACCCCTCATGGGTTGGCGTTGTGTCGGCACTCCATGTTATGTGCTGAACATTTTGCATCTGCGGGGCACTGTTGGGAAAGCCACTCCCTGAATACGTTCCCTCAAGGCCCATTACGAAATCAGTCTGCCTGGCGATTCGGTTGGGCCCACATCTACGGCGGCAGGCCAAGCGCCTGCGCCCAAGTCGTTGGCATCCCCGCGCGGCCCGCCCGCCACGGAAAGGGGGCGATCGCCTGTCTGAAGCCGCCAAAGGCCCCACGCACCTCGCGGGCGCGCCGCGGGCGTGCGGCGCTAGCCGTGGCGATAGAATGCTGGGGGCCGTAAGGCATTGCCACCTCCAGCGGGCACCATGACGGGACACGCGCGACAGGGCGCGCGCGGCACACGGTCAACGAGTGGCCAAGCCGTCATTAGGAGTCCTTCCTGGTGACGCAGCCTACGATGAAGCCACGCAGCTCGAAACTAAGAATGGCTGTGGCCCAAAACGAGCAACGTCCGTTTCCGCATGTTTTGCGCTAGAACTTTGCCGCCAATTCAATGACAGGATCACTGCCGCCTTTCTTGGAGTCTATAAGATATGCATTCCAGATCGTTGTCACACAGCACGCTTATCATACAGAAGCCTTCCAGCTGCTTTTCTCCTCTGTGTCAGGTGATGAAGCGCAGCAGAGACATGCGAGTTATGAAATTGTCCGTTCGGTGGGTGCCACCATCGCCAATTCGTTGATCCCAGAACAAGATGCCAAGTGAAAAGGACGAATTATTGCTTTCCCAACCAGGGAAAAGCTTGGCTGGTCACATTCGCCCTTGGCTGGCAGAGTGCGGGTGTTGTTGGGAATGGGATCGACTCCAAGAGATCCACTCGAGATTCTGAATGGGCAACGTGAAAACCCGTAAAAGCTTTGGAGCCTGTCCCGAAAGGCGCAGAGCAGATCGTTTTGTTGGATTCCGGAACGAGCACTGCATGCACGCATGCTTGGATCATCAGCACAACCAGCCTTTGGCATCTAATTCATGGTGCGCTTGCGCCGATAACAACCACTTTGATGCCAGCCATCCACCTGGCCATCCTTTGGATGTACGTAGAACAAAACCGCTGGGAAACTGCACGCTGCCTTGAGAACTGAGCACAGCGAGAGTGATGTTGCTGTTGGCGCTGGCCTATATGTAGGGAATGGCCACAACAACACACACAGCAAGCAATCTCGATATCAACAACGAGTTGCGCGGCTTGATCGTAGGGCTGCGTCACGAGGAAGGACTACCGGTGACGGCTTGGACACTCGTTGGCCGCGGGCGACGTGCCCCCTGTGGCGCAGGTGCCGTCATGGTCCCCATTGGAGGTGGCATTGCCTGGCGACGTCCCGCAGTCTGCCTCATGCCCACGAGTTGCGTGGGGCCTTCGGCGGCCACAGACAGGCGATCGCCACCTTTTGGTGGCGGGCGGGTCGTGTGCGTGTGCCCCCTTGTGGGCGCCAAAGACTTGGGAGCAAGAATGTGGCCTGCCACCGTAGATGTGGTCCTACCGCATCGACAAGCAGAGTGATTTCGTAAACGGCCCTCAAGGAACATATTTAGTGGGTGGCGTTGGGAAATGATGCTGAGCCATGTCGACGTAGCGTCACCCTCTGCACAGAGCGCGCGAATGGAAAACCTCGATTCGACCAATTCAGCGACGGCCATCGTACAAAAGGCCGAAATCGGTACAAAGGGCCGAAATCGCGACGCGGCCACCGCCGCAAGCCGGCCATGGCCCTCGCATTGCAGGCAGCCCTGTCGGCCGCCCTCCTCATCGTTGCGGCGGCGACGCCTCCAGGTGAGCCGCGGTTCCGCGCGTGCCCAGCACACGCATTGAGAGCTCGCCTCAGCACCATGGAGGGCGGGCGTCGTGGAGCCGTTGCCTCACTCTGGCCAAAACCTGCGCACAGTCGCCCGGGCAGCTGCCCGCAGACTGCAGTGAAGCCCTGCGGCGTGTGCGCCGCGCCCGCCAGCGCCAGCGCTGGCGCTCTGCTGATTGACGCGCGCCAGTCTCAAACAGAAGCCGATGGGCTGTTTTCCTGGCGCGGGCACTCGCCGCGAGTCCCCCAATCGGCGGTTGACCAGAATTGAATCATGGAAACGGGAAGCTGAATGTTGTGCGCAACTTGCCGCACCTGTGCGTGCGGTGGCACAGCCCCAGGGACAAAAAAACGCTGCCTTGAGCTAGCTCAAGTTGGGGGAGCGCGAACTACTGCGGCGCCTGTCCTGTCTCTGTGTTCTGGTCGCGCAGTGCAGCGCCGATGCGAAACCGAAGTGGTCGTCATTGCCGTGCTTGGTGTGCATGCCCCACAAGCGAGGGCGAGGGCTGCCGCGTGATTCAAATGAACGAACGCAAAATGCGCTCCAGGATGCTGATTGTGCCACAGGCAGTGGGGTTGGGGCGGAGGGATTCGCTGTCAAGGGAAACGATGATCGTGACGGGGAGGCGGAAGAGGTCTACATTGACATAAGTGAGCACGGAAGCGCGAAACCCGGTGGCGCAGTATTGGATGCTGCGCCGTTGCACAGCCGTGATCGAAGACTGAGAGTCAGTCACAGGCTGGAGCGGAGCTGGCGGCGTCTTGGTGTCCCTTTTCTGATGAAGTCGTTGGGTTGATCGAGCGGAGCTAGACCCGGAGAGCATGCAGGCTTCATTTGCAGCCTGGGCTTGCAGGCTGGTGGGCCTGCAGCCTGCATATTCACTCTCCCACTCTTGGTTACGACCACTGATGTTCGGCTGTTGCGCATGGAATGTGTCTCCTGCTGCCATTGCCCATTCTTGTGCAAAACTCCCTGCTGCAGAGATGGGCGAATTGCCACTGCCTACCACGACGCCAATGTTCGCCCCCAATCTCTGTACGATTGCTCATGCCAGAAACACACAGTAAAGAAATTTCACACATCACCTTTCAGACGAGTGCCGTACATATTTGCTTTCTTCTGCGGGCGCAATGTTGCCATGAAATCCGGCATTCTCTGCTTCATACGCACCCTAGCGCATTTACAGCTGCGCAAGTCGCACTGTCTCCGCTGATAGCTCAGATATCACCAGTCGTGTTGCATAACTTCGTTTTGCTCCAGAATCGCCGCTGAGTCAGATGTACTAAACTTGTGGACTGCCGCATTGCACCATTGCCATCGCGAGCTCATGTGTGCGTTTGCCGACTGCCCTGCCGCCAGGTGGACTTCGAGACAAGGTTACCGATGGTGTGCTTTCCGACGGAGCGACTCTCGACGAAAGGTGGGATTGCGACAGGGGGAAGTTTGTGAAAAGGTTGGGGCCGCGCTTGGAGCTCGCGGGCAGCCGTTTCATCATCCACGGCTTCAATCAACACGACATGGTCAGATGGGGAGCTCATGAGCCGGACAGGCATCGGGTACGTTTTGGCCCCAAAACTGAAGTTACCGGGCTTCAGACGGCCAGGTGTGGTTTTCACCTCAATTTCCGCGCACCTACCACAGATGTACCAGATTCTCGTGGCGGCGCTGCTCTGATGTTAGTCGTATGCCAGTATGCCTCTCTCCGTGCATAAGCCCTAATCGAAAACTTTCTGATGCAAATAATGCAGCGCCATTGTGGGTCCGAATCCAGCATAGAGCAATGAACATTTGGCACGCGCCCCACAAAGAACAAAGACAGATAAGTATGAATTTCAATGACGATCTAATTCCATGAGAGGCTTACTGCGTGTCACAAATTTTGCGCCACAGTGATTACCACTGCAATGTCTCCCTCATGTGGTTGCCATTCATGAATTGCGCACAGCCCTTGATCAAGGACGCCTCTGAAGACTGCAGAAGCCTGTGCTGGGTGACCGGTGCTTGTACCTCTCGAGTTTACAAGACTGTGCATCAGGAACAGTGCCTACGGGTGTATTGACAAAAACCCATTTCTGAGCGATGCAACTTGGGACTTGTTGATACATGAGACTCCAGAGAATTCGCTGGCTATGCGTCCCATATGTCGTCAGTTAAGGACATTATGATGTGATGGAAAATTCAGAAACAACAGTGCGGCTGTGGCGGCTCGCTGTGACTATGCATCTGTCTTTTGGGCTTCTTTATCAGGTGGCGAAGATTCTGTCCGATGCAGCAGATTTGGGGATGAACAGTCTGAGAACCTGGGCATTCAATGACGGCGACAGGTGGCTGCCTATTCAGGTCGGGCCAGGGAAGATCAGCGATCGAGTCCTCAGGTAGGTGCAGCGGGGTGTCGCGTCCGCATTTGCAGCCACAAGGTGTTACAGACGCGCTGCAAATGAGTTTAGTAACTGCGGTCTACTTGACGAGATCTTGAGTCGGATTGAAGTCGACCTAAGCCGCTAAACTTGTGCCGTCAGCGTATCACAACAAGCGGCCCATCGTGCAGTCGTTCCCATGTGGCTGAGTCATGGATTCCGGCGATTTGGGGCCAAAGCTGCAGGGAACTAGCATGCTCTATGATTCTGATTGCCCCAGGAATTCCGACCTGCGCGGCCAGCGGCCAATAGTTTGTGGCGCACGTTTCTGCTTACACACTTTGTAATGCCTATGGTCCGTCGTGACGAGCTTGCTGGTTATGCTCACCAGCGATTTCGGATACGTTATTACGTCTGGTTTGCGTGCTCAGGCGGAAAACTACGCATAATGTTCCCCACAACTGCGCCGCTACACCCTGTTAAGTGCGCCTGCTCCTAGAGTTCAACCTTGCACCGATGGGGCACCAGAGTGTAACCATTTCATCAGGCACGCAAAAGGATATGTAGTTGATATCGAATGCCAAGCCTGCATTTATTATGCCTTTCGTCGCCTGCTCCTGACTGTTCTGTTCGAGCACCCTCGTGAGCACAGCCAAGAAAATCAGCAACAGCGAGCGACGACCAGAAATTCGTCGCAAAATAGCAATGCATAGGAATAAACCCCATAGCATGGTGACCGCAGCGTAATAGTAATTTCATTAGATTCAACTTGAGCGGCGCCATGAGTGCATGCAATAATGCGTGTTTGGGCCAGAAGCATGACGACTATAACAAATCAGGCCACTGCGCATTTTTACGCTGTCTCGAGCTGGCGGGGCAGAACCACAAGGGTGCACGTTGCGGTTCACGTGCCCCTGGTACAAACTGCGCCCCGCTTGCTTCGGACCAAATGACAATTGCCCGGGTGCGCATAATACCCACGAGAATGTGGTTGGCGATGAATGTCATAAAAGCTCCATGAGTATTGATGCATGGACAAAGTACATGAAAAAGGTTGAAATATTTCCGTTTCTGCTGCAGGGAAGGATTGGATTTTGTCCTGGACGAAGCGCGCAAGCGTGAGTTTCGGGTCATTCTGACGCTGACGAACTTTTGGAACGACTTCGGCGGAATGCAGGAGTACGTGCAATGGGCGGGGGGAAACAATGTTCGAGAATTCTACACCAACGAGGCAGTGAAGGTGCTGGAGACCGACATATTTGGCGATAGACATCGTTTAGTCAACAACCCTGCAGAAACACACTGCGTCCCTAATTCGGGAAAGTACTTCCGTTCTTGTGGACCCTCTTGTTGTTTCCCTACGTGCATTATGCAAAAGTTATTGCACAAACATTGTTTTACATTACACCAGTTGTAACTGCACAATATTCAATTGCATAATGTATATTATTGGGCTTGTCAGATTGCGGAGTATGAACACTAAAAATGCAATGCCTCCGCAACGTGCTTCACTGAGCATGTCTCCACATGGTCTGCCACTTTCAATCCGTCCGCATATTCGGTGAGGGCTTGCATGCGCTGATAACTGCATCTGTCTTTGCCGTGAATAATCATCGCTACTCATAATCATGGCTTCAATGCACATGAGCGTCGTCATGCGGTAATTACACCCCTACTTTGAAGTCATACTGGGATGACTAGTTGGTGAGGGCTTTAGAGCAATCAACCAAGAAAGGAGCAAATGCTCTTCTACTCGACATGAAACATATAGTACACCGCATGTTGGGCAATGCTGTCACCTTTTTCAAGGGCGATGCGGTGCTGGGGAGAGAAAGCACACAGGACACTGAGATCGCAATGGATTATTATGCGTGTCTGTGGAAACGAATGATTGCGTGTTTTCAAGCCTTATCGTAACACACACAAGAGTACACAACAGTGCGCATACGTGTCTAGCATAGAGCTACCCAGTTTTATCCACCAGTTCCGAATGTGCTTGCAAATCATGTGATTGGATTCACCCAGTGTGTGTTGATTTGTTGGGTTAATCCATGACAGCACCATCCAATATTCGTGCTCTGTATATATTGGAATCTTTGCTTTGTGCAATGGTGTCAACCTGCAAGGGCTGCGACCGATGGATGCTCTAGTAAACATACCCACGGGGGCATAATCGCTTATGCTGCAATGAAGTCCAACGGAAGCAAGCTAACTATGTCGTTGGTGGTAGTAATACCTCGATTGTAGTTCGCAATTAACACTACGACTTCATTGGCTATTGTAAAGTAGGAAATTACCCGCACCAATGGGAATATGGAGTCCTCGCAAGTGTATGGACACGATTCCTGCTGCCTCACTGTTAATGGACCCGCTGGACCGTAAGTGAAGAGCCATCATCTTGTTGGCTGAGCGCAAACAAAATTCTGCACCACACTTGCAACTTCTTAAAAGGTTGCAATTTTTGCTTTTGTTCGGTAGTTGGATTACCCAGAACTCAGCTCGGCACCGGATGCATACATTTCAACTGGAGTTCATACCGAATTTGAATTGGTGGTTGTCTCTGGCCTCCAGGATACGTTTAAAGATTATGTGGCCTCGATTGTCACACGCCGAAGCAGTGTCACTGGCATCGAGTACAGATATGATCCCACCATCCTGGGATGGGAACTGGCCAACGAAGCCAGGGACCCTGGCAATGTTGGGAGCAAGGCACTGCAGGTTTGCTTTCAATGCCTTCCATAGATGTACCATGAACTGATCAAAGGCGATATTGTGCAGTGCAAAGCAGCGTCTGTGGCATGCCACATCAACAACGGTACAAGGAAGTCCCTTTTGATGTATTGCATCGGATACTGGACCCAGAGACAATCCAGCCGCGCCTTTGCGGTTGCTTTCCTGCAGGGTTTGGCTGACAATTTGCAAACCGTGCAAAGGCAAGAGCGCTTGAAGTCTTGAGTCTGGTTGCTTACAACCTGTACAGCGTGACTGCGTGTGCTTCTCTCCCTGGATCCTGGCATGCCAGTGAAGACTTACGAAGTACGAACTATGTGCATAGTTCGTACTTCGTATTTCGCACTTCGCAAAGTGGCACTGAAGTAAATCGTAATTGGTAATTGTCAATATCGTAGTTCATAATTCGATGGTGCACTTGCAGGGATGGCTTGACGAAATGGCTGCATTCATTCGGAGACTTGATCCCAATCACCTCATTGCAACCGGAACAACTGGACTCTTTGGCCCTTCTTCTCCGAAGAAGCTTGCGCTCAATGCGCACGCAATGGATGTGTTTAACAGCCCCACCCCAAGCCCTCATCGCTACGATGGAATCTGTGAGGGAGAAGATTTCCTTAAGGACAATCAGGGGCAGCATGTCGACATACCTACAGTGCACATCTGGCCGGACCACAGTATGGCCTGTGATTTTCAATGCAAGAAAGAATGGTCTATCAAGAATGTGAGTCGCCTGTGCGGAGCCACAGGATCAGGGCCACTGTCGCTCACTGTTTGCGTCCCGCACGGGTTGGCAATGGGCAACACAGGCATCTTGCGCAAGTTTTTCACTTATCCAGTCAGCTTGCCTTGTGCTTTGGTCGAAATCCTCGGAAGATGGCAGTGGGTGCATCTTATATATCCTGAGGCATGTCTGTGCTGTTCGGGCATGACGTGCAAAAATGGCTGAAAGTTAGCCGCAGATATCTGACCTTTTACCAGATAGCAGACGATACTTGGACAATGCCCATCCAAAAATTGTGCATCATTGCCTTCATGACTTTTAGCTTAAAAGACAACTGACTGGTACACTCAAATTCCGTGGGGTAACGCAAAACCTACATTCGTTCCTGTTTTGATCAATATTGCACCGCAGCGGAGCACAAATCCTCTCTTCACTGCCTCCAGTTGCAGGGGCATTTTGAGGCCGCTAACACATTGGGGAAGCCGCTTCTCCTGGAAGAATTCGGGATTCTGAGACCGGATGGGCAACGCCATGAATTTTACAGAGCAATGTACGAAGAGCTGAAAGCCGCCATTGCAAGAGGTGTTCCAGTTGCAGGTAGAGAAGCAGTCCGGCATGGTGTGTTTTCCAGAACATGACAGAAGCGACCTTGCTCCGACAAGTAACGGATTTGATTGGTTGGTTCATCAAGTCAGGAAAACAAAATTTCCTTTCCCTGGGTGATGACCCACCCATGCACAGGAGGTCTACGTGCTGTATGAACGGCTTTAACTGATCACAGACTCTGCTTCGCTCAAGCAAAATAGGAGGCTGACGGGTACCTCATTGCCTTGTTGTGCAACAAATGATAATGATTATGATGAGCTGCTTTAAATTGTGATATGTGGGGTACACCTACCCGTGCCGGGGAATATGAAGCTTTTCTTCATGTTGTGGCACACAAAGCACATAGATACCTCAGCAACAATTATCGAGCTCTTTTAGTATACATCATCCAACTCCACGCGGTCACAATGCTGTACAAGTCGCTGCCCTACATCTTACATGTGAACAACATGAACCCGTCTTTACTTCCATTGTTACGTCGTAACACACGCGCTTTCGGCTGAAATAGAATTAACTATCCTGTTAATGAGTTTCTGCCTAGGACGACGATTGGGTGGGCGCGCGACGGCCAGGTCGGGCCGTTCCGCCCTTTGGGACAGTTTGGGCCATCCATCAGCCGGTTTCTGTCACCCCTGTACTCGGGGTCAGTACTGCCCGACGCATCCAAGGGCGGTGGGGTTGATCCTTGTACCTTGGGCGCAGCCAAGGGGACCGGTCAAGCTGGCCCTTGGGTTTGGCGGGGAGTTTGGCGGCAAGTGGGAGCGGCTATTTTAGGCGCGACCTGTGGCGCCCCCCTTTATCTTGTTTCGCTTCGCGCCAACACTTTGGCACAACCCGGAACCACAGAGTGGTTCGACCTGCCGGCCTTTGCGCCGAGTCCTTTCTGTATGAACCCCAGCCCTGCCGAACAGTGGCTGCGGGCACAGGCGCTTCGCTTCAACCAGCGCCTCCCTGACCGTTCTATCGAGGTCACGTGGGTTTCCGACCCCCGCTTACTCCCCCGCTCAGTCAACAACCGAGTCGCCAGGCCGGACTTTACGGCTTTCCCGGCCTGGTTCGACGTCCGGGAGACCGGCCAAGGCCAGACCGTCGCCGCGGCCTTGGGACCCAACTCCGGTTACTTCCAGGAGTACGCGAGCTGGGCGCCGTGGGTAGCGTGGCAGTTCGACTACACGGCGGCCTTCGTGGACCTGGTCGCCCATCCAAGTCTACCGCCTTCGATCCGCGAACTCCTCTTGCCGTACGTCTACGCCTCGGTGGCCATTACCGAGCGGCAGGTTGACCAGCTGCGCCTCCATCAAGTGCACGCGAAGCATCGCGGCACCGGGCTCGAGGGAACCTGGCGGGCGCTGCAGGCTCAGATCCGGCTCAGCGAGCCCGAAGGCGGCTTCACCACCGACACCATCGACGGGACGCTGGGCGCCATTCGCAAGGAGCTCCTCACCCAGGAGGTCAAACTCGCGACCAAGGCGGCCGCGGCCAACCGGGCATCCAAGGCGGGGAGCGGCGATCCTCCTCCCCATTCGAGTGGCCAGTCGGCCAAGAGGGGCAAGCGCCGCAATCCTCCTCAAGCGGCGCGTCCTCCTCCGGACGCCTGATTGACTTCCCGTACAACCGCACCCGCGGGCGCCTCTCGGCATGGCGGAGGATTGGAGCGCCATCGCACGTGCTGCGATGGATCCATTCGGGCGTCCCCCTGCAGTGGGGACCGCAGGGCCCTCCCCCGCCTTTCGACCAGGGGGAATACCCGATCCGTTCGGCGGAGGAGCAAGCGGGCTGGACGGCCCTCCGCGAGGAATATTTGGCGTCGGGAGCAATTGTCAAGGTAGACCCGGGTCCCGACTCGCGCATTTCGCGGGCGTTTCTGGTGGAGAAAGCGCGCGAAAATGGGGTGATGAAGTACCGCTTGTGTGTCGATCTTCGCCGAGTCAATCGGCACCTTCGCAAGATGGGTTTGCGGTATGAGAAGCTGCGGGATTTCGGGCAGCTGTTGCGACGGGACGATTTTTTAGTCGGATTTGATATTAAGGATGCCTACCATCATTTGAGGATGCGCTTGGCTGATGAGTGTTTTTTGCAATTTCGAATGGGCGGGGAGGTCTTTGCTTGCCGAGCCCTCCCCTTTGGGCTCTCTTTATCGCCTTACTTTTTCACTCATTTTATGTTGGTAGTTACCCGTTTCCTTCGATCTCCGGGTTCAAGTGCCAAAGCGGCGCGCAAGTTCCGTTTTGGCAGTCTTGCGGGGAATGATTCAATCTTCCGTTATTATGTGCGTTATACGGTTGATGACCCCGCCATTATCCTGGCTTACCTGGACGATTTTTTGGCTGCCATGAGTGACCCCCGAAAATTACGGGAATGGTCCCAATTAGTTAAGGAGATTTTTGGGGCCTTGGGTATTCGCTTCAAAGACAGCAAGTGCCAATGGGAACCCGTCCAGGTCAAGCGGCACCTGGGGGTGGTGGTGGACACCACCTCGTGTCGTTTTTTCGTTCCACGGGATAAGGTGGCAACCATTGCCGACAAAGCCCGGTTTCTTAGGGCCCGGCGTTGGGTGGTGGCTCGCGACCTGGCCCGTTTTTGTGGGTTGGCCATTTCCGTTTATTTGGCCTTCCCCCTTGCTCGGTTCTTCCTTCAAAGCCTTTATGCGGTGCTCCGGACCAAGCGCTCTTGGCGGGATCGTCTACCGCTCACCCCGCAAGCGTGCCTCGATCTGGAGGCGTGGAGCAATCTGCACCGCTGTGATGGCCGCCCCCTCAATCCCGATGCCGTGCCGTTTGCGGGCACCTTGGCTACGGACGCTTCCTTGACGGGCTGGGGCGCGACGTTCACCGCACCGCATGCCGATCAGCCGCGGCTGGCCAGAGGCTTCTTTGATCGATCGTTAACGCACATCAATGTGCGTGAAATGCAGGCGGTGGCGCTGGCCATTCGGGCCTTTTTTCCGCCCGCTTCCCCCCCGATCTCGGCGCGGGTCCGCCTGCTCGTGGATTCGCAGGTGGTTCTTTTTTGCATCCGCAGCATGACGACCAATTCCGACCAGCTGCGGGGCCCTCTACGCCAACTGCAGCGGATCTGTTCGGCCCGCTCGCTGCTCCTCGATCCGGAATACATTCCGTCCAAGGACAACACCATTCCCGACCAATTGTCGCGGCTCCGGGGTGGGGAGGACTATCGCCTCAATCCTTCCATTTTCAAGGCGATTACAAGGGCGTTCGGGCGGCGGACAATCGACCGTTTTGCTTCCCAACGGAATTCCCTTTGTCCCCGCTTCAACTCGCGTCATCACGAGCCGGAGTCGGACGGAGTGGATGCCTTCCGGCAGAATTGGACGGGCGAGACCAATTGGGCCAACCCGCCTTGGTCTCTTCTCCCGCGCCTCACGGCCTTCTTGACACAGCACGTGGAGGTGGAAGCGGTGGTGTTGGCCCCCGATTGGCCCTCCGCCATTTGGTTCCCGCAGCTCCGCCGGATAGCCTCGCGGGAGATGGCCATTCCCCGTCGGCCGAATATGTTCCTTCCGGGGGATCCCGCTCTTCCGGCCGATCTGCCTCCCCCGATGTGGAATCTGAGGGCGTTCCACGTGCAGCCGCGGAGTCGGACACCGCCTCCAGTGAGGTGACGCCGCGATCCGCCCCAGGGTCGCCGGTGGTGGACCCCCTCCCGGAGGAGGCCATGCCGCCCGACCACCCCCTCTTCGGTTGCGATGTGGACGGTCTTTCGGCGTCGGATCGCTCCTGGATGCGCGGCCAATTCCTGGCCTCTTACACGGAGTCTACGCGGCGCGCCATGCATTCCAAATTCGACAAGTTTGCCGCTTTCTGCGCGAACCACGACCTAGTGGCGTTACCGGCCAGGCCGTCGTCCGTCTACCGCTACATTCGGTTTTTGCGGGAGGAAGGACGCGTGGGAGTGCGGAGTCTACCCCAGTATCTGGCGGCCATCTCCATGGTGCACCAATCCATGGGCCACATTAACTTTTCGGCCTTCGATGCCGTCACCCGCCGGCTCACCCGGGCGTGGAGGCGCGATGCCCCGGAGCCGGCGCATTCGCATCGTCCGGTGTCTACCTCGGTGATGCTCGCCATCCTGGCGCTCGGCATGGCTACGGCGGACCTTCGCCTCCTACGGGCGGCCTGTTCGGCAACGCTGGATTTCATCTTTTTCAATCGGGCGCAAAGCGGCCACCTGATCTTACTCGAGGACCTTCGCCTCGAGAATGGCCTGCTGGTCTTTCGCGAGCGGCGAACCAAGCTTTGCGCCTCCACGGACCCGCGGGTGCGCTGCCGCTCCTGGCCTTCCAGCGGAGCACCCGCGGTGGTGGATCTTTTTCTTCGCTGGTCTGCGGCCCGCGACAAGGCGTGGGCGGACGCCGGTGCTTCCCCGCGCCATTTCTACACCTTGCCGGGGGAGGCCGATCCGTCGGCGCCGACCGTCTCCAGCTGGTTCCCGGTCCTCCTCCGCGCCCTACCCTCCCCGCCGCCCGAGCACTTCGATCATCACGGCCTTCGTGCGGGTGGCGCCAGCGCCTGCTACTCGCTGGAGGTGCCGGAGGGGCGCATCCGCACGTGGGGCGAGTGGAGGAGCAACGTCATTTGGAAGTACATCGATGTGTACCGCCTCCCGTCCGAGTGGGACTACCGGCTGTTTGGCTGGATGACGATTACGGCCCGCGACTTGCACGCCCAGTACGGGCATCTTTTCTGCCCCGGAGGGGCGTCATCGGCCCAAGAGTGACCAAGGCATGACCACGCCTTAGCTCCGGAGGAGCTGCACCGTGCCCCAGTGTGAATGGGCACATTTCAAGTGGGTCGCCAATCGGGTCTTGTTTTAGTGAGGTGATGGACACCAAACTGTGAGTGTTGTAATGTATTGTCGTGTGGGGAACACGGGGGGGGTTGAAGGAGACCGGTAAGGCAGAAATAGAATTAGCTATCCTGTTAATGAGTTTCTGCCTAGGACGACGATTGGGTGGGCGCGCGACGGCCAGGTCGGGCCGTTCCGCCCTTTGGGACAGTTTGGGCCATCCATCAGCCGGTTTCTGCCACCCCTGTACTCGGGGTCAGTACTGCCCGACGCATCCAAGGGCGGTGGGGTTGATCCTTGTACCTTGGGCGCAGCCAAGGGGACCGGTCAAGCTGGCCCTTGGGTTTGGCGGGGAGTTTGGCGGCAAGTGGGAGCGGCTATTTTAGGCGCGACCTGTGGCGCCCCCCTTTATCTTGTTTCGCACCCGCCCGGCCCGCCCTAATAGAGTGAGTTCGGTTAGCTGTGGGATGGAGAGGGAGTTGAGTACGAGAGAAGAGGGACTGACTCTGAGTTGAGTCACCATCAGAGTGGCATTAAGTACTATGCGAAGCGAGGGCACATTTCAAGTGGGTCGCCAATCGGGTCTTGTTTTAGTGAGGTGATGGACACCAAACTGTGAGTGTTGTAATGTATTGTCGTGTGGGGAACACGGGGGGGGTTGAAGGAGACCGGTAAGGCAGAAACATGTGCTTTTGGACACTGGTTGAAATTCTAAAGGTATTGCAAAGGCAACAATGGATGTCCACTCATGCAATGGGCAGTGCAGAAAAATGGATGCACTAGTTCCGCAACAGGCAGACGTTCTGCCTGAACTGATTGAACTTTCCAGGCATTGCGAGCAGCAGCGGATTCATGTGATAAAACAGGGACTCTTCAGCACTTCCCCATACCCATTGTAGCCTCATACAGAGCACAGAGTGACAAAATTTCGAATGTTCGCGTTAGCTGGCAGCAAACAACAATCGCCATTTGTCTCAGTGCTGAGAGCCTTCCCCATACCCATTGTAGCCTCATACAGAGCACAGAGTGACAAAATTTCGAATGTTCGCGTTAGCTGGCAGCAAACAACAATCGCCATTTGTCTCAGTGCTGAGAGCCTGATGGAAGTTTGCAATCCTTTCTAGCATCGAGTTAATTCAGGAACGTTCCTGATCGAAGGTTGCGATGCTTCTGCTGTTCCAGGTGCCCTGATGTGGCAGCTTGGTGGCGAAGGTGCACTCGATTACGGTGGCTACACTGTATATGTAAATGCCAGCGAAAATGAAAGAAGCAGGCCACCGTTTTCGAAGCCTCGCGGCTACCATCAGAACACCTCGGTGCGAATTGGATATCTGACTGCTTGAAATGTGTATGTTATTGCCTAAAGCTCTTTCCGCTGCCCCTTGCTGAGTATTGATGGTGCCACGCACTAGGAAAAAAAGGGCCAAATAACACTTTTGCGAACACACCTAAAACACATTTCATCATAGTTTTACACGCTAATAACACAAAAATAACACAAACCCGTAAACTTTGTACACATTTGAACACGTGTTATTTGGCCCTTTTTTTCCTAGTGACGAGCAAGCGACGGGATGTGTTCTTCACACAAATTTTGCTGACGCCACAGTATGCAGCGGCTGTCTCGGGGCGGGGCGAGGCAGGGCGACGTGGGATGGGGCGCTGTAGTTTCATACCCTGTTTCGATTGACTCAGTTTCTCCAATCAACAGTCTACTAAGTGTTTAATAGCAAATGCTTATTAAAGGCTACATTGAGGTGCTCATCTCAAAGCACCCTTTCGATGAATTGTCAACTTGAATCAATGGTAATTTGAACGGCAGGGCTACAACTGTTTTAACAATATTCTATGTTGTAAGAGCAGTGTAAGCAGAGGCATGGATCACTGACGCTTGGCTCTCTACTTGCAATAAACTGTGGGGCGAGCTCACTGCCAGGATGTCGTGGGAAGGCTGGATTTCGGCATAAAATGTAAGCCCACTAATCTGTATGCAGGTCCAAGTGGTGGATGACCTGGACTTCAGGAACTGGGGAGAAATGATGGATTGCATGAAGGAGAAAGAAACGAGAAACGGAGAGGAGTGGGGCGAAACTCTCGAAGTGCTGAAGAATTTTCTGGCTCCAGAAGAATGGCTGATGTAGGCAGTGCAGGCGATGGAGGCCAGGTTGCCGGCTTTTTTCGTATTGTGTGGAATGGCCTTCCAGGTGCAGGAGTATGTTTTTTTGAAGTTGGATTGTCTGTGACAGTGGCAATGGCACAGTCGCCATATTGTTCGCGACGATAGTGTCAGGCTAGTCCTGGGGGTGCCACAGCCTCTGCATACGTGTGTACACGCTTGCAGCCTGATTTGCGACTTCAAAAATTTTTCCATCACGTTAATTCAACGTTCATTGAGGGCAAAACAAGGGGATCGAAAGGCTGGCAAGGTGTTGTAAGAAACGGCAAACACATAGGAAGTTACACCAAATCCCAGTTTCGAGATTTCTATTGTTGAGCAGTTTCCGTTCTGGAGATTGTAGACACAATAGATCGTTAATGCAAGTAATCCCTGACTCATTGTAATTGCCAGTGAGGGACACAAGGAGGCTTCCCTGTATCAAGCCATTTCGCACTTGGTCATTTACTCAGTCACTGAGCGATCACAGGCACATCATTAGATCGTATGTTTTTTTTGGTTCCGTGCGAAAGGTTAGTACACACGTGCAATTGAAATGTGACTGCCATGTGCAGTACATGGGCGCCATGAGTTATTCGCTCAGTATGCCACAGAATCGGGCGGCAATTGTGTAATTCGTGAATTGTTGACATTCCGCCAGATGCTTTGCCTGCCGTGATTGCTTCGGCGGATTGCGTCTGATCCACAATGCTGCAGTCTTGCGCATTTCCCAGCGGATCTCTTCACAATGTGCATGTAATTTGGCAGGCAGTTTTACATGTCTGTCCTATCCCGTTGCCACCAAAAGAATCGCACAACAAGAAATCTATCTGGAGTACCCTGCAAGTTCCGCCATCTGCTTATTTGCCGTCCCCACCTCTGCATTTGTATCTATTGCCGATTGGACTTGCACTCTACTGGAATTATGTATAATCTGCTCTGTAGTAAGAAGACTAATGGCGTATTTGCTGCGATTTTCTTCCGTCATTCTCTGCAAATCGAATTTCCTGGCCACCTGCGAGGTGCATAAATGAATAAGCGACGTGAATGTGGCAATCGACACACTGGTGCAGCCACAACAACGCAGAATCCGCAAGATCCCTTGACGTGGTTTGCATTCACCCACGGTATTCTGCTTTGCCACCCCACACGTTCCATGCTCCACCAGCACCAGGCCAACAGTGCGCATTTTTCTGCCATTTCACAGCAATGTACTTGGCTGTCGCACGGCTTGGCGCTGACTTCATTTTTTGGGCAAAAACCGTAATCGGGTGAAAGTGCCAGACACTGTTTGCAAGCTCTCAGACATGCACATTGCACACTCTGCACAACTACCTACCCCTTTGGGGTACGGCTTTGCGACAGGACTTCACAAACGTTAGCGATAGTCTTCCTTCAAACAATGCTCACACTGAGGAAATCACTGGCATGTATTAAGAATGCGACTCCGCTGCTATGCCGCTGTTCGAAACCCACCTTCAACAGGTTCTCCTTGCCATAACTGCCAGATAGACCAAGGTGATCAAACGCTCTCCCCATGCAATCATCGTAGTCTTTCTCCAAAGTTTCGTAGTGCACATTCAGGGCCCGGGGATTTTCCTGAGATCGCTGTAATTTCGAACACCTCTGTACAGCTCGTCGCATGAAGAGTGCAACTCGACAAGGAGCCCTTTATCGATATCAAGCGCTTGCAACACCTGCGCAGGTGAATGGACACAGCTGCTTGGAACATCCTATCGCCCCCGACCTGCAGCATGTGCAATTATTTTGAGGAGGGGGCATGCCGATATCATACAAATCGAATGTTCATGGCAAACAGTTAAAGGTCGTGAAATTATTCTCTCGAATATGCCGCGCAAAGGAGATACCGTTAGTGGGCAATTTACCACGTCCCACCGTGTTTCCGTCACATCCATCCACATAGCGCAGTCAGTGAACGCTTCGAGCTGGAACTCAAGCACATTTTTGCTGCACGTTGCGCTCGTCCAATAACAATGATGGCAGTGAAGGCAACCTGCTGCTGCTAAAACCATCCGCAGTACAACAACACCGCTTGCAGCCAGGTGTTGCAATACCATCCCTACACTACAAGGTAAGCTGTTTACCTTGTAGTGTGGGGTGCTCGCGTAAGCCCGCTGAAGAGAAAGCGGCAAAACGCCAAGAGCATCGGGCTTGGGCACGTGCAGCCAGTCTTCCCAAGGTGAACCGCGTCGATGGCACAAGTATGACGACATCAATATTTCAGTTGGGTTCCTGACAACATGAACTATAGGAAAATCGGGCACCTGTGGCGCGCAGTGCAGGTTTTTAATACATGTCATGCGTCTAATTCATTTTGAGAATTCTTAGGGCAGTTAACGCGTGTAGGATATACCAAAAATAGGAAGTGAATTGCGCCAAGACAGGCGCTAAGATGTAGCCACATAGAAGAAATATGCACTGCAATAGCAATTTGCCTGACCTGGCGCAAAATTCACACGCCCTATATAATACTGTATTGTGCAAATATTTCCACGAAGCCGCCCACATGTTGCCGCTTTGAATATATATGTAAAAGCACAAACATTTTGTTCTTGGACGAGCACATTTTCTTCCTGAAGTATCAATCATACATACTGTGTGAAACGCACTTTCATGTCTCTTTTAAAGCCACTATGAACGAATAACTGTCAATTGCTTTTGGCGGCCTTCACACGTTCGTGCCTTTAGGCACAGCTACGTGCTCTTGAAGCCATTTATTTCAAATAACGCACACTGATGCGCAGGTAGCAGCACGCCCATATTCAAACGCACAGTAACATTTCACATTGGGCCAACGCAAGCATGCTACACATTGTCACTGGAAATTGGCAGCTTGCGCTCCAGTCGAACACCCCCAGCGCTGCGGCTACTGCCCTTGCAAAGGGCGACCACGTCGTTGAAGAGATGGCGATGTTCCACCTACTCCAACATGTCCAACTTCGCCTTTACCCACAGGCTCTTGCGCTTGATCCCAAGGGCTATCTACAAATAGCAGATTCTTTTTGTGTGTTTTGGGCATCAATACGCGTAACAATGAAAAGCCATATGTGCGCGCAATGTCCGCGAGTAGAAACTCACAGGCAACCAGCTTGTTTCAGCCCATCAAATGAATAACAACCGAGAATATAGAAAGAGCATCTGCATCCCAAAGCGTTTTATCGTTTTCAGCCATTGCTCGTTGAATGCAGACGATGCTTGGGGGGAATTTCTATAGTCGATCAGTTGGCACATGCCAATTTCAGTTTGCTGAGGGGTCTTATTCGAAAGGATGCATCCAAGCGTGTCAGTCCTCTTTCTGTGGATCTTACAAAAAATTCTTGCTTACTCGTGCCATGGAAAATATTTGGAGCACACTCAAAACTTATGCACACAAATACGTACATGCATATTTGCTCCAACTGCTGAAATTTCGATCGTTATAAGAAATCAACATGCCAATATTTCCTGAAGGTGCACGTACGGGCTGATTCACCCATCACGGTGCCACCAACCCACCCCCGATGAGGGAAGCTCCAGGGTGCACGCCTGCATCCAGCACTCCACGTCGAAGTCTCCGCAGTAGGCTGCTGGCTGCGGCCCTCTAGGGCAGGCTTCCTTGTACCCATGCATGCCCACCATCAGCCGGTTGCTTGTGTTCTCATACGTCATGTACATTGCGGCCGTGGAGTTGTCGGGAACGCTCAAGTCGATTTGTTCTTCCAGCCTGTTGAAATTCATGCTGAAGTATCTTGAAACTTCCCCCATGGTGTATTGGAACAGGAGGGTCCCTGTACGGTGGTGTGTGGAGAGAGCCGCGATGGGAGGCTTCTTGAAGATTGAGGAGCTAAAATGAGATATCGTGCCGTAAATTTTGCCTTGATGAATGAGACTGCCATGCAGAGACTGGCAGCTAAGTTCTTCTGCTCACATCTGTCTGGGAACATAAAGGTGGTCCCCTGCACCCTGCAGGCAATGACGGGCATATGTGCATCCTGAAACGGATTTCTGAGATTCGCGGCAGCAGCGGTGCTACCTGAACAGGACAGCGGACGGCTGAGAACGTTCCCAGGAGAAGAATTTGCCTGGTGCATGCGTAAATGCTATTGCCTGACCAGACCATCACCACAAATTTGTGCTGTCTAGAATAGTAATTGCAGACAATTCATTAGTCATACGGGAAAACGATCCATTCATTGCGATGTTGCCGCTGTAAGTGGAGGAATGCACCAAATGTACCAAATATAGTGAAAATCTGGGCGAGCTTAACTGTGAACAGCAACAAAATTGATAACCAGAGCCCACCTTATCCTCCATAATTGTTGTTCTGTCATACTTGTTACACACGGTGCGATATTCCATATCTCCAACATTCAAACCGTCCGAAAGCAATGCAACCGATGTCGCAATTGAGTAATTCAGCACTGCGGATTCCACGGCAAAACAAGGCAACCATGTGCATTCCGTCTACGATCATATGCTCAAATGCAAGACAACCTGCATACCAGTGTGCGCAAGACATCCGACACAGTCGAAACCAAATCAACATCATCGCACGGACAGCGTCATGTTCGCTCACTTGATCATGAGGGCTAATGCATCGCTGTATGTACAATCACTTTCATTCCATATTCAGATCTTGATTCGATGTCCGATGCCGTATCAGTTGCAATAGTTGATGAGGTGCTCACCTTCTCAGCCCAGACATGCTCGATCCATGTATTCACTGCCGAGCCATCAGCATCAAATAGCAGAATATCAAGATGCACGCGTTTGTCAGCCTATTTCTCCACAAATTTCTCAGGCACGACGTCCCCGTCCACTTCAGTGATGCGCCCTTTCCATGTTGATCCTCTTCTGATGAAGTCGAAGGGCGCGGCGAGCTTTTAGATGTTCGCCGCGATGTAAGCTTGCCAATCGAGGCATTAAGGCCATGTCCCCTCTGTTTCAAGTTCATCGTTTAAACAAAAAAATAGCGCAAGATCCGAAATCAGAAATGAAGATTCTAAGGAAATGCATTGCACTGTATCATGTGCGTTATGCTTCAGAATGAGGGATCAGTGTGAGGGATCCAGACACAGGCACATGAGCCATTACTGAGAGGCGGAGGGGGGTCGGGGGCTCGCTTTCCCGAAATGACCAAATGTGCCAAGGACCCCAGTGTTGTCAACGTGCAGGGACAGAAACACAAACCTCCCTCTGGAGACTCAGCCACGTTCTACATCAATGGGCACACCTTCCCAACAAGGATAATCGTTACGGCAACGATCATTGCCAGTTTTGGGCTGATAGATGCCCAATCGTGAGGCTGTTTCTTTCCATTTCCTGCTCGGGCCCTTTGCACAGCTTCGTGTGGAACAAATTGCAGTTTTCACTTTGCAAAGTGAAAACACACAAATTTGTGTGTTCCTTCGATTGCGAGAAGAGTACGGTGGCTGGTTGTTGAAATAAACATGGAATCATGCGCGCTCTGCCACCGCAAACACAATATCTACGAACTGGAAAATCACAACCGCCGGGATTATTTTCCTATGTCATTTTGTCGCACGTTCGCAGATTTGGGTGCTGCGAAATCTGTGATACGTGGTGGTGGCAAGCACTAATGCAAACAACGTTTGCCCATCCCAGAAAACCCTCCGCATCCATAATGGCACTGACGGCTGGTGGCTGATGGCCTTTACCCGGCGTCTGTCATTGTTACATGCCCCCCCTGAGGGCGACCTGATGCTTTCGCAATTTCCCATTTATGCAGCACCTCTGCTATCATGAAATGCAGGCCACGACATTTCCAATGATTTCCAACGGTGGAACCTGTGTCCCCAACGCGCATCGACGCTCACGTTCCCTACACCACATCATCCAGCCTGAGCGGCTTCCCATGTGCAGAACCAACTAGCATATTGGCGCCCCTCGAGGCACACCGCACCACACAGTCCACACCCAGCCCATGGTCATATGCGGTCCATGACATCACCACCCATGAGTCCCGGCGGTAGCACCAGTAGAAAACGGCCTGTTTGTGATGCCAACTGCGATGCCATTTTGACACAAATTGATGGCATCACAGCCCCTTTCATGCCATCGCAATCGCTGTGACGGCATCAATTTGTATCAAAATGGCATCGCACCTGCCATCGCAAATAGGCTGTTTTCTACCAGTGTAGGAAACAACCCAGTGGGATTCGCGGGCACGGACGCCGCTCATTGCGCAACGAATTCATTCGATTTCAAACTCAGCACGTGCAGCCGAATCGCTGGCGCTGGGCGCGATCGGATTCCGCACGACCATGCAGATGCGGCGGTGCGCCGCCTTGTTCCTGAGGGGCTGAAGGCCGGGCTGAGGCACATACCGGCATCTCAGCACGAGCGTAGCCCCCCCGTCGCACGCATATTCCCATTCCAGTGTCGCCCGAGTTGGTAAGCGCAGAGAAGGCGCATTTGCCGGCAGGGACCTTCCGGGAGACGATGCTGAGCAGCACTGCTTCCCTTTCGGCGCCGCAACCTGAGGATTGTGATGGTTTCAGACACCAACCGGGGGGCGCTCAGCGCCCAGCGAGCCCTGAAACTGCACCAACAGGGCGCCGGCGCGGCGTTGGCGCTGTGCCAGGGGCCGGGCAGCCCTCCCATTCGGAGAACGACGGGGGCGACCTGCGCCTTCAGCCACAGTTCAGGCGCGCACGGGGGGAAAGTCGAAGGAGCGCGCCCCACTTCTGCGAATAAGCAGCGCGGACAGCGGCAAGTCGCGCTTGGGGTGCGCTCGAGCCTCAGGGGCCTCGAACGCGGCGGGCGCCCGGCTGGGGCTCCGCCGCGCTCGCGGGCCTTCTTCCCTTCTTGTGTGACCGCGCCGTGGGAAGGGTCATCCAAGCTGTGCGAGGAACCTCATGCGCAACATGTGGGAGGTCCGCTCGTTGCTTGACAAGACCGCCAACACCTTGCGTTTCCACGCCACGTGTCGGGCATCGCCCTCTCAGTACATCTTCACTGGCACGGTCTCTCCCCATCTTGTCCAAGTTCCTCCGGTGCTGTACACTTCCGAATGGTGATCGTGAGTAAACATGCCCTCCTCCCGCACGCACTTGGCTGGCTGCAGCGGCGGCCGGTCAAGAGTTCTGGACGCTCACACCTGCCCCCCCGGCTCTCGCACAAGTCGCAAAGAACAATTTAGGAAATGGGCCCCGGAGTGCATCCCCAGCGAAGCCTTTCGCAATAGCGCTCACGGTTACAACCCCCCTGCTTCCACACATTCGCGGCGGTCTCCTGCCAAGAGATCGGCACCCTCACACATGCCTACCGGCTCTCACACAAATTACAGCGAACAAAATGGGAACCGATTCCCGTAGCGGCTCGCCATGACATCGCCTTTCTGTGCTGAAGGTACGATCCAAACGGGCAACACTGAAAAGACAGCGCCGCTTGACTCACCGGCGGTCGCTTTCAGCCACTGGATGGCGTACCTTCGTCGCGCCCCATGACTAAATGCGCCTCTCTGCATCCATCTCATCCCACTCCAGCGCTGTCCTCAAATAGAGGTTGCACCGACCGCTTTGCGGTTCCTCACCATCACGTTTGAATTCCAGCCCCGGCCGCATGATGCATGCTCGGGGAAGGATTCGCATGGATCGGCCGGGCGGCCGCCCGCAATCGACGTGCACCCCCGCCGCGTGGCGGACGCTGGCCATGGCGGCCGTGGTTTTGAGCTGCGTGGTGGGCGCCTTGGGGGCGACTGGGGACGGATTCGTGCGGGTCATCGGGACGCGGTTCGTGGACAAGTACTGCCAGGAGTACGCCTACAGCGGGTTCAACAGGTGATGCCGTGGCCCGTGCGGCCAGGGCGCAGACGCGGCCAGGCGTGAGCGTGTGGCGGCGGGCGGGTGGGGGGTGGGGGGTGGGGGGGGGAGAGAGGAAAAGTTCGAGAAGAAGTACATGATGAAGTCGAGGGCATGTTGGGCACGCCTCTCCCGCGGCTGCCGCGGGTAGTGCGCTGGCTCTGTAGACAAGGATGTCGCCGGGGCACGCGCTTCGAAGATTCGCGGTGGGTTTCGGGGCCAGCGCTGCGCTGCTGAGCGGCCGGTTGCGCTCGGTAGCTAGTACGGTGGCACTCTCGGGCGGGGCCCGGCTGGCGTCCGGCTGAATTTGTGGCAGCGCCCGGCTGCGTGCGCTGCACGGGCTTCCCTTGTTGGGTAGCGTCAGGGAAGTGTGGCGGAGGGAAAACCTGTCTGACACCTGTGCGCATGGATGCTGCAAGAGTGGGTCCCCTTCGAGCGTTGTCTCTTTCGAGCTGTTCCCGGCGCGTCCAATTCTGTACGCAGTACCGGGCTGCATGCACTGTACGGGCTTGGTCTCTGGGGTAGCGTCCAGGAAGTCTGGTGGAGGCGCGTATAACCACTGCAGGCGCACGGGGACCCTTTCGAGCATGGTAACGTTCGCGCTGTTCGCGGCGGGTCCAATCCTGTGTGCATCAGCGAGCGGGTCGCGACGGAATCAAATTGCCCCGCCCGCGGTGCCTCTAGTTGCCCAAGGGTCGCGGAGCGCCGTTTGCTGATCGGCGGAAGCTGGCAGGCATGCTGAGGCTCTGGGTGGGGGTGGACGCGGCACAACGCGAACGGCCCTTCGTGAACGGCCAGCATTATTTATGGGCACGGGAGTGGCAGGTTTATGTGTCATGCCGATGATTAAAGGTGACTGGTAGGTGTGTCGAAGAGCGGCAGTCTGAGGGCTGCTTGATCGATCCCTCCGATGGGAGGGACCGCCAATTGGGATGTCGAATCAGTGTGGGCTTTGCCAATTGGTGCCCCCTTGGCTGACTTGTAGCTGCACGCATTCTGGCGTAGCTGCAATCGCGGCAAGTATGCCTCCATTTCGATAAGCGCTAACTAATTTGATGGCTTTTCACTGAGAGATCTCGAAAGAGAGGGAGAACAGTGGCGCCCGGATGCGCCCGGATGCGCCCGCATTGGATACCATACATGCAGATTTCTCAACGTCGAAGACATCTTCGACATCTGCGAGGGCGAAACGGATAGGGTGCCAGCGGGGGAGTAGTGAACTCGAGAAGAATTCCATTGTATATTGCGGAATCGCACGCACAACATATGCGTTGTATTTCATTTTGGCACTACATCATTGCACATCCTGCAGTAATGTGACGGCTATCTTTCGTCAGAAGATGACGCCCAGCCGCGGAGTTTTCGAGGCAGCTGAAATGACGTCAACTTGTGCACGTTTCAATGAGCAGCTGGGAGCTAATGGAAGCTGCAGCAGGAATACAGTCTGCCCTGCCATCGGATCAGAGCCATTTTGAGGGTCAAAGTCTCGTGCAATGGGTCTTCGAAACAGCAGCAGAGAACCAGCTCTTTGTTGGGAGGTTTTTTGCCCATGGGCATGCTTATGGAGGACTGCCTCTCCAAACTCAGCCAGGTGCGCTCACCGCAAATCAAATTAGCCCACTCTGCATGTTCCGACTTGTAAGTGAGGTGAAGATGAAATAACATTTGTCACGTAGTGCGCGTGGTGGAGGTGACGGGATTCCCACCCTTCTACACTGTAACTTTTTGCCTCTACGGAATTTGAACGTGTTGGGTTGATTTTGACTTTTTTGGGCCTATTGCCTGGCATTCTGTCAAATCAGCGTCGCACAGTATGATCCGCTCAGCACCACCCCTGAATGGATTGCAAGATCACAAGAAGAACATTTCGTTTACTTAGTGTGTTTTTGATATGATTCCTCATCGCCAGGCTCCTAATTTCGACGCTCTCCTTTCCCGCTCGTGTTGAACTGGAACGAAGCCTCACTGGATTGGGTTTGGCTCTGATATATTTGCGTCAGCCGCCTCACAGTTGATTTGTTTTTGTTGGGCACAAACGGTATCCCCGGTACATTTCACGGCCCCTCACCCATCAGGGTCTCCCACCCCAGCGTTGAAAGGCATCCACTATCGGGAATCCAGTAGCAATGCGCAAATGGTGCAGACCGTGGAAGTGGCCTTCGGGGCCTCACAGGTTGCTGCGCCACGATTCTTGTGCACCAGAAAATGTTGCATCGCTTTTCAACTCCTGTTTGGCGTCTCTTTGGAAGAACTTTTCTCTTGTATTTTTTGTCGCTGGGAAAACGCGGCATTGCAATGGCAAAGGGTGATTGCAGCATATTGCTGCAACGTCCATCACAATTAGAAGTCGGCATTTGGTTAGAAATGCCGCCGTGCGCCATTAAGGCCATATTTGGTAATATTTTGCTCACTTGGCGACATTAAATGTGTACTTTCTGCAAAATTAGTCATTTTGGAAGGCACCGGTTTTGACCTGGCGCCATTGGGCGCCACCCGGCCCGAGCTTTTTCAACATTTTGCTGCTATTCATTGGTGAGAAGACGTTACTTGCCACTGTACGTGGGAGGCCCCATCAAATGCCATGCTTCGAGAGTGCGCACTGGAGAAAAGGGTGGGCAGGTCTCGATCGACATGGGGTTACGATCGATGCCCACCAAGAGAAACGCACTCCCCACTCCCGCTACTTTGGCTCCTAATAGGCGCTGATCGTGGCCACCTTGGGAGCCTGGATTGGCACCCACAAAGGGCCGAAAAGCGGGTCTGCGAAAAGTGCGGCGTGGCGCGCAAAATCCAGGTGCCAAAAATGCAGGCGCCGAACGCAACGGGATTGAGGTGGGAATCGGAACCGAATAGCCTTTCCCACCCCCCTAGCTTGGGCCCTCGCAGGTGCTGATTGCGGCCAAACTAGGGGCTCTCGATTGGCACCTGGGAGTGGCCACGACCGGCCCCGCGATGGAGCAAACGTGACAGCCAAAATTTGCCTGCCTAGCTTTGATCGCCTTTGCCCACCAAAGTTGGCCATGGAAGACTTGTTGCACATACTTGCGCCTCCTCCATGCCGGTCTTCACCACGACTTGGTGTGCAAGAGCGTCGATCTGCCCCTCAACACGTTGATCTCTACCATTGGCATTCTAAGCCACCAACTCTGCGGGTTAGGCGTAGGGCGCTTCTTCGCCTTTCCCTGCCTTCTTCCCCCTCCGTGCACCTCATCAACGCCTTGCCTGTGCCTCCCTTGTGCTTGCCGCCTTTGCCCCGCCGAATTTGGGCTTAATCACCGATTCAATCGGCGAGTGAGCCCCATTCTGTTGGCGCTTCTCAACACCTCCTCCGGCCCTTCATTGCATCATGCCTGCGCCTTCCCACTTGCCCTGTGCCTTCTTGTGCCCTCCCTGCCCCTTCTTGGACCTCCTTAGCACCTCTTCAGTCCTCCGCCACGCCCTGCTCCCCTTTCCGTGCTGAGATTGCAGCTCAATCGCCAATTCAACTAGCGACTGGGCCCCATTCAGTTGGTGTCTCAAAGCATCATCCGCAACTCCCTTCCACAAACCCGCGCCTCTCCCATTGTCTTGCGCCTTCCCCATATATCCCTTCCGCTTTCTTGCGTCCTTGGGCGGGCACAGCAATGCACATGGCCAGGAGGAGCTGATGCCAATGGTGCGTGTTCCCCCATGTGCGTCATTGGTGCACAACAATAGATGTGGGCCGGTTTCCGGCCCATCACCACCTCATTGTGCACTTCCCTGAGACACACAAAGGAGTGTCCATGCCGGCCCAATGGGGGCGCACTATGTCAAGGGCCGTGCGCTTTTAACCGGCAAGTCAGACATGCAACAATGCACTGCTGGCGGTGAGTGTGCGCCGTCAAATGCTGGGCCCCGCTGTCCAAGGCAGTTAGTGGCGCTGGATTTGTTGTTCTAACGGCGAAACGGCCTGCTTAGTAACTCTGTTATGAAGCACGGCGTCTGTAAACTCTTGAAGTGCCGTAAATGTCAACGGCATCTTACAGCATTGGGTCCACGCCACAATTTCCGTTAAATAATGGCTTGTAGCGCCCACCTTTAATTACTGTGTATGCACTATTGACTGTGTCGTGACGGAATATGTGCATCGCATAGGGAACATTTCGTTTGAGGCAATGGCCCTGACATTTGTCGTTGCCTGTTCCGAAGATGGCACATAAAGATCACTAAAAGTCCCGAAGTAGAGGGAATCTCTGCTTGCCGTGCCTATCAATTTGGAATCACGATGATGTCCACCACAAGCGAAGTAGGATTGAATGCTCGTGACAAACTCTTTTCACCACGTTGTTCATGTAAACTGTGCGTACGGGTTCAACATGTTGGCGCCAATGTGTGTGCAAAAATGCAGAAGGTATAAAGGCACTCTTAGGGGCTCTTTTCTTGCCACCCACCACAAAGTTATGCCACGGGGATGTCTCCATCTTTTTTTTTGCTGTGCACTGCAGGTGTCTACAATGAGGAGGCACTGAGTGCTCTAGACTCTGTGATTGCTGAAGCCAGGAACAAGGGAGTGAAGATGATTCTAACACTTGTAGACAATTGGCAGGATGTGGATGGCAAGAAAACGGTAAAAGAATTGTATGTTTACACGTTTGGAGCGTGGTGTATGCGTAGGTCAATTGCAGTTTTCAATGTGGTGGATGGCAAGAAAACGGCAAAAGAATTGTATGTTTACACGTTTGGAGCGTGGTGTATGCGTAGGTCAATTGCAGTTTTCAATGTGGTGGATGGCAAGAAAACGGTAAAAGAATTGTATGTTTACACGTTTGGAGCGTGGTGTATGCGTAGGTCAATTGCAGTTTTCAATGTGGTGGATGGCAGCATCAAATAACACCGAACACAGCTAAGCCTCAGTGCCCCGTCATGGCATTTCCCGCTGATAGACTTCCAGCTGTGTTTCTATACAGCAGACATGTATGCAGATACATATAGCAGACATATATGCCCAGGATACCTACCTGCTATGTGTTCACAAGCAAATCAGTTGCACAGTAAAATCCTGCAGATGAGATTTGCCATATGAAATCGTGAGCCAATCAACGGAAAAGCACTCCGCACATTGAAGATTGTATTGTGGAGGATACGGTTCATCAGCGAGTGCCACAAGCTGCTACCAATGGTGTGAGCGCCCATGGCAATAGGCAGTTGCATCACAGTCCCAGTTGGGGACCATCAAGCAAATAGTCTTGCGACCATGGAGCGAGCCTGCTTGCTGGCCCCTCATAGAAGCTGGATGCCTAACTGCTGCATTTGTTGTCGCGCAGTACGCTGGCTGGGCAGGGAAGAAGCCAGACGAGTTCTACACGGATCCTACTATGAAGTTGTGGTTCAAGAACCACATCACCTACATGGTCAATCGGGTTAACAGCGTGTCTGGCGTGCGCTACGGTGATGACGACTGCATCTTCGCTTGGAATCTCATCAATGAAGCAAGATGTGACTGCGACATACATGCTCCGGACGAATCCTGCGATCCCCAATGCACAGAAAACATACAGGTAGAATATTCTAACTGTGATTTTGATTAATCTTGATTAATCAAAGTCCCAAAAAGTTGCCAGCTGCGTTATTGTTCCGGTTGCATCTGTTGTTCATTCAAAATGTTTTGGAAAAGCACGAATCGGTCTTGAATAGATGGAAAGCAGTGCTGTCCGCTGGAATTGGTGGAAAATCCTTTTCATTCGTTGAGAGTGCTGAGGCAGTTTTAGGCAGAGGATGTTTCGATATTGGTGCTGACCTAGCAGTCTTGCACCTGATGCCGTGATCTCCTGTGGGGATTGTTTGTACATGTAACGCTGCACGCCAAGAATGGTCTGCAACTCAGCAGCTGGTGGTCCTGCAGCACCCGCAATGCGGTGAGCGAAGCAATACGATGAGTGCTGAAGATCCAACGGTGGACTGTGAGGACACACGGCGAACTAAACAGCTGAGCTAGGGCTCCATTGTTTGCTGTTTCGGGTGCACTCGATTTACTTGAGTTGAACCACGTGTGCAAAGACTGAATCATTCGCGTTGCCATACATCTGATGCGGGTCAGTGTGACACAACTGCTGTGGGTGCTTTTCGCAGGCTTGGTTCGAGGAGATGTCAGACTTTTTGAAGGCTGTGGACCCAGTGCACATGGTCTCCACTGGACAGGAGGGTTTTTACGCCCTCGCAAGCGGACGCCAGTCGGTTAACCCGGACCTTTATGTTGGTCTCCCTCCGAACGAGTACTGGGCGTCCCAGTCGGGACAAGACTTCAAGAGGAATCACGACATGCCCGGAATGGACTATGCCACCATCCACTCCTGGCCAGACAACTGGGGGGTAGGCATCGTGTAGTGACACTTTAAACGTCGTTTCATGTGTTAAGCGTGGTGGATAAAATTGTGCACATGCAGGAAACATATACATGTTTCTCTTCATTATTTACAGGTTTTATTTATTTACTCACATGTCTCTCCACGAATGCAAATGTTTCTCTTTATTCAGTTCTTCAGAGATTTTGCGTCGTTGCATCGTGCCCCTGGGTTTGAAATACACTATTGGAAATGACTCAGAAAATTATGGTATAAAGTTTTGCAGTAACCCCATTGCATATTGGTCAATTGTCTTCTAGCAACGAGTGATTCCGTCTTACTGCTTTCAGAAGTCCTTAATAAAGCGGTGCCTTTCCTGATGCAGTCTCCGACGGTTGATTTTCAAGACCAGTGGGTGCGCGAACACATTGTGGACACGGCTGCACTCGGGAAGCCTTTGGTGGTGGAAGAATTCGGCAAAGCCGTAGATGAGGACGACGAGGAAATGAGGAGGAACGTGCGCCACCCGTTCCTCAACAATATGTACGACATGTTTTTGTCTGATATGAACAACGACTCGGTTCTGAAAGGTGGGTTTCCAAAAGCGCTGTGGGCAGTCCGATTTTCTTGACGAAACCCACGACACATGGTCTGGACACAACAGTACATGGTTCAACCGAGCACGAATTCCCCGTCTGCCATCGGTCCTGAACGCGGCGCCCCGCAATTGGGAGGCCCCCTGTCAGCGCTAACAGGGGGACGTTGACACAACTGAAACCCGCCGCAATGGCGATGCCGTGGACAACCAATTCCCGCAACAGACATGTTCCTGTGCAGAGGCGTGACCACAGTTTCCTCGAAAATTTCCATGGTGGTCCTGCAAAGGACCACCACTTCAGTGGCAGCGGCATATTCTGAAAACCAATTGATTGCGATATCGGCCGACTTCGGGATTGCCCCTCTGAACATGTTGGAAGCCTATGACACCTCCAGAAAGTCTGCCAGGGTCCACGGTTGGGGATTGAGAAAAGCGGTTCTGCAGCCTTCCCTTCTCGTGTCGCTTCCGATCTGCACGGCCAGGCGGCGGCCGCATACGTCCAGCATTTGCTGTGTACCGGCGTGCTGCAGGATAGATGCAACGTCTGCGAAATAACAGGAAAGAGCGGCATAATCTACTCGTGGGTGCGAGCCAGCCAATTCGCGGATTGATGAGTTTTGCTTGCAAATGAAAGGCGTGAAATGCGGCCGCGTCGCAGCCATTTCTTCCATCCCATGTACCTCGATGGATTGCCTCTACTCACAGGGATTTCTTGAAAGCATGTGGGGCAAGAAAAGATATCGCCACAAGCAACGTATGTGGACAAAGCCGACACCTGCGTGTGCTTGAAACAGTGCTGCTCATTTTCAACCAGTGCACACGTCTAAATGGCATTCGAAATGCGCTATAGGTGTTGGTTTCTGGGAATTCGATGCCAACAACGCTGCTGACCCTGGGACGTACGGCGTCCAAACGACCCACTCGGCGTGGACTGACATTATCCTTCCCAAGACTCAGGATCTGATGAACATTGTCGCCGCTCTTCCGCTGGTGGAGAACTGCGCCCCAGGTACTGATGCGGCACATCGGCGCAGCTATCTATCCTATCTATCACAACAGGTGCTCTAAGTGCTTCGCAATATCGTGGATCGCTGCCCTTTTCATTTATCAGAGCTGTTTGTTGATCATTTATCAGAACTAGCTGGTGGCCACTTATCAGAACTTGAAACCACGTGTCAGAAGTGTTTGGTGATCACCTTCTAACCTCCTGGAGCGCCCGGATCCCCGCATCTCGGAGCTCCAGCTGTTGCCTTCTAATATATTGATGCAATTTCCTCATCGACAATCGCCATTCGTTCGCCACTTCCCAGGAGATGTGCGCCAAGCAAGCTGAGCAGTGGTAGTAATGAGGATAATGACAAGAGACCGTAGGAGTGATTTCCAATTGTAGGCCGTTGACGAAGGCGTCAGAGTCTTGATCCACTTAATAGAAAAGACGTCGAACTCGATTGCGACGCTCCCAACTGGGAATTTCGCAAACTCTGCGAAATTACTTGATTTGAGAAATTGATGTTTAAGAGTTGGTCCATCGTTACTCAATCTTCTGAAAAATCAATCCATTATCACAGCGACAAAATGTCAAAGCTTTGTCAATGTGGTGTTATGTCAAATGCAGTCAAGATATTGTTCCAATTAAGCAGTTTGTGATTGAAACCCACAGGAGCGATACGCGCCCAGGATGCCCTGGTTATGGACGCCCCCTCTGATTCGTACTACATCAGTGCCGGATTAAACATATTGGACGTCACTGAAGGCGAGGAGATTTCTTCCAGGTCAAACGTGGCCACCGCGAGGCAGTGTGCCAAGCTGTGCGATGCTAACGTCGCGTGCAGATCCTTTGCTTATAACCCCACCAAGGTGAGCGCGATTGAAACACGCTCTACAGGTTTGTGTGCGTTTTATATAAGGCAATAGGTAAAAGGCTGTCACCTGAAACAGTTGTAGAGCACTTCTCGTGCGGATGGCATGTATTATCGTATGGCGTATATTCCTGTTCGCGCGTTTGACAAAGGCCAACAGGACCCTGTTCAATTGACCATTGATGCGACCACATTACGAGCACCGCCGAAAGCCTGTACGGTAATTCGATCAAGGTGCCGTCATGAACGCCGTGGTCATGTTGCACAGCATGTATTGGTGGCGTGATGGATACGTTAGCATCACAGCACGTCGGCGAAGGCCATATATGTTCAGCATGGTGTGCGCGATTCTAACTTAAAGTAGTTGTTCACCAGCATGCTCGAGCCGCGTTGTCCAGGATGAATGAACTGCATTGCATGAGCGGTATGACTGCTGAAAATAGAACTTGTTGCTCAACAGATTGCAGTTGCATATGTCATTTTCCTCTTGCAGAACATGGCCACAACTTATGTTGCCAATGCCATTATGGTTGATTCACGGCGTTGTCTTTACCTTTGCGTTAACTAAGCTTTCTGATTTGGTTCCTTTGTCCGTGGTGTTCCTGCACGTGATCCTGGGCTTGCCAATGCACAGGATGGCGGTTCATGCTCTCTAAAGCGCCAGGTGCCAAAAGTAGATGGCTCGGGCGGCGGGAGCTGGAACTCCGATGGCTGGCAGACGTTTCGCAGGAAGCGAGGGGGCGAGTCCTGCTCCCTCGATGGCTGCCGGCTCTGCACAACCGACGACATGTGCCTGAAGTGCGAGAACGGCAATTTGCTGTTCAGATCTTCGGACGGCACTCTGGATTGCAAGCCATGCGACACGGTGCAGGAGGCGCTCCGGGCGAACAGAGGGGAATGCCAGGGGCCAGCTGCCGGAAAGGACGTTATGGTGGCTCCCAACGCTACCGTGGCGGGTACCACAGAGCCGACGATCGTCGATGCAATCAGCGCCAATGCCGGATAGAAAGCGCCTGTGAATGACGCAGTCGGTTTGGGTTCGCGGAGACATGACGCCACCTTTCAGTTCCGTTGATTTACCAGATTCGCATGCGGAAAAACACGCAGCTTTGAACCCAGGTTGCAACTTTCCCTATAATTCATAGTGCTAAATGTTCGCGGGGATGTGGGAAGTCTGCTGGCAGCGTGGATCCACGGATAGATTCGGGCACAAAGGTTGCGGAAATTGAAATTCGCTTGACGGGCTGGGGTTGGATGGTCTGAATAGGGGAGGGTGAGCAAAGGGGCCGCTAATCGGTGGTGCAAATCAATAAATTGAGATGAATCAAAGCAGTTAAGAAGTTGGAATGGACCCTCGCCCTTAGCGCAAGCACAGCTATACAACAGCTTGCCTTGTGTGCCTTTGTAATGAAAGGGGTGAAAGCGACACCAAAACTATCTTGGAGACGACCTGGACGCAGGAATTTTTTGGACAGAAGAGGGATTTGAACGATTTATTGAGTGAGGTTGTATCCATCATCCACCTCGTTGCACTTGTTGTAACAATCATTGCACTTGATTGGAGGATCCTGTTTGATTTGTCAAGTTCGCCTAAATTGTCATCGACGTACAAGGCCGGAGCCCGGCGCCTTCTATGCACATGGCGCTCCTGTGGGGTAACCCGGCCCATGGGCCACCGGCACTCCAGTTTCGAATTTTCAGAACTACCAAATTTTTGAATTAAAATCAGTTGTGTTCTGCACATTACTCGGCAAGAAAGTTTTGGAGATCGTTGTTTCCCCGCAACCGAAGCCTCCTGTCATCTTAAAGCATTCAAACAGGTCTTGATAGTGCAGCCAGAAAATGGCTGCAGTTTGAGAAGTTTCAATTTTCCATTCAGTTGTGGATATTCAGATATTATCATTTCCATACAGCAGTATATTGTTTTGAATTGGAAACAGCTTAGGGTGTGCTTTTATCCCCATTTGAGCCTTTGTTGCAGATATACTCTATGGTTGTGAGTTGTTGCAGCATGGCTGCGTGCTTGAATTCGCTATTTGCCTCCACAGTATACTGTGCCATGATGGAACTCCAGCCACCCATAGCACAATAGGGCTGGGAACCAAATGTTGCTTTCTTCGTGGTGTTCAAAGTGCCGGGAGTCTAGGTATTTTATATGATCATGTGGATTGCCTCTGGATGGGCTTGTGTTGTCATATAACCCTGGCAATCAAGTTTGCGGGCTGGGTGATGTTGCCCACCAGATTTGGATGAGACGCAATCGACAATCATCTAGCCATTTCCACTGGTTGAAAATGAGCGGCCCTGAGGACTAGGGTCAGGTTTGCCATTGGAGGATCGCTTCTCGTGTCCTAGCAGGGGCTTCTTTTTGGTTTCCATGGGACCCGCCACAGAAACAGCACCTAAAGTACTGCAGTTCTGCCGATTTGGCGATCTAAGAATGCCGATTTTTCTAAGACAGCCTTAAGCTTCCCAATCTGTGCGAACACAGCCAGCGAAACCTAAGGATGCAAGTGCTTCCTCTGCAGTTGGAGTTCGCGCCGAATGACGTTCGTGACCGATCGCCACTATCAGAATTTCAAATTTGCTCCATCGCCATCAACTTACACACACACTGGCCAGCACCATTGCCACTGCTACTGTCTAGCAGGACCTTGCCGCGGCCCAAAAAGCTCCAATTGCCAAACAATTTGTATTTGGATCAGGACCTTGCCGATCGCCAAGTTCAAATTTGAATGCGCCCGACGTTGGTCGCCACCATCAAATTTTCCAATTTGATTATGGTAGATTCGGGACAGTTTTTCGGACAACGACCACTGCAAGTGGTGTATGAAGTCCAGCTACGGTCTTTGTTCTGGATGCAGACGGTCGCCTTCAAGTCCCACAGACATCGCCGCCAACTCGAATTCGTTTTGTTGTGAAATTTTGGAAATGGAAGATTCAAGAGGTTGTCATCGACATATTGCATGCAACTTGTTGTGGACTAGCGCCGTTCCTTGCATTGTCATTGCACACACTGCTGTTCGTCATATGGGAATTGCATGGAGTTTCAAGTTGCGCTGTTCAGCATTAAACACCATCACGCACCTGCCCTATGCTGTAAATCGGAGATGCGGCCAAACAATGAGGTGTTCTGGGGACATGTACGACGGTGTTCTCAAGGAAACGGGAGCATGAAATCAGCTATCGTGTTAATGGGGTTCTGCCAAGGGAGGCGACGGGTGGGCTGCACCGGGTGATTGAAAGGTTTGAGCCTGGGTCTCACTCCGCCCCCGCCCCTTGGGATTTCTGCCCACCCTTGTATTGTGGGTCAGTCAAAGTACGAAAATACGAGGTACCACCGACCTTGGGCCCCTCGGGTTTGGCGGGCTTTGGTGGGGCTGAGGGGGGGCGGCTATTTAGGCTCCCCTTGAATCCCCCTCCTTATCTCGTTTCTCTTTGCGCCACTTCATTGGCACAACCCGAAGGAACCGAGTGCCTTGCCATCCCCGGCTGTTTCTAGGCCAAATTCTTTCCATGAACCACATGCCGGCTGAGCAGTGGTTGCACGACCAAGTGGTTTGATTCAACGATTGTCCACCTATGGCTATTCCAGACGCTGTCCAGCCGCCAAACCACCGGTTGTTACCTCAGTCGGTCACCAACCCAGTGGTGTGACCACTGGCAGTACGGTTTCCTAAGTGGTTCAATGTCTGCCGGTCCTCTGAAGGTGGCCAGCTCGCGCAAGCGCTCGTGGTGAACTCCAGCTACTTCCAAGAGTACCAAAAGTGGGCTCCCTGTATTGTGTGGTAGTTTGACCTGACTACCGCCTTGATCGACTTTGTTGTGCGCCCAAATTTCCCGACCCAATTTTGGGATGCTCTTTTGTAGTACATCCATGATTTGGTGACGATCACGACCCACTTATAGAGCCTCATCAGGCTTTAGCAAGTCCACGGGGAGCAGAATGGGACCGCTGTTAATAGGTTGTGGAAGGTGCTCTAAACGAACATCCAATTGGGAATGGTTCACTGCCGTATCTGGGACCCGTTCATTGACAAGGCACTCGACCACGTCTGCAAAAGGGTGCTCAATCAACAACTGAAGCTTGCAACCACCCAGTCCGCCACCACCCAGCTCCATCGACCACCTCTAGCCACTACACCTGTGGGCACACCGCCATCCAAAGGCTCCAGAGGCTCTAAACTAGAGCCAAGCATTTCCGCGGGAAGTCCAAGGCTGTATCCAGTGCTCCTCCACATACCCCCAAGCCGTCCGCCTACAGGCCCTGCTCTACGCCCTTCTCCATGGCCGTCTTGCTATTCGGAGATATATTGGTACCCTACCTTGCGTCCTCCGATGGATCCATTCGGGGGCGCCCTTGCAATGGGGCCCGGGAGGCCCTCTGCCCCCCTCCACCAAGGCGAGTACCCCTTGAAGACTCCAGAGGAGTGGAGCATATGGAGGGAGTTGTGCGGTGAGAACCTAGAGATAGGAGTGATTGTGCAGACCCGCCCTTCTTCTGACACTTAGATTTCGTGGGCCTTGTTGATCACCAAGACCATGGAGAAAGGCAAAACCAAGTTTCGCTTGGTCATCAACCTTCGGCAAATTATTTACCACTTGAAGAAGGTTGGTTTGCGCTATGAAAATTTGCAGTATTTTTGTTAACAAAGAACAAACTCTTGGTGGGCTTGGACATCAAGAATGTATACCATCACATTAGAATGGAATTAGATGAAGAACACTTCCTCCAATTCTAAATAGGCGGGGAAGTGTTTGCATGTTGGGCTCTGCCGTTTGGCCATTCTTTGGCACCATTGTATTTTACCCATGTGTTGTTTGTAGTTACCCATTTCTCAAAGACCCCTGGCGCATGTGTGCTAGAACTCGTTCCCAATTTGGTCGTTTAGTGGGGGACGATTCGATTATACAATATTACCTAAAGTACTCACAGGAAGTCCCCATTTGATCTTGGTTTATTTAAATGATTTCATTGCATCCATGTTGGGTGCGAGTCGTTTGACCGATTGGTCGATAATTATATAGCGAATCTTGTGGACTCTCAATATTGAATTCAAATACAATAAATATCAGTGAGATCTCATGCAAAGAAAACAACACTTTGGGACGATTATTGACACCACTCGGTGTCAATTTTTGGTGGCCTTTGGAAAATCAGTAGCTATTGGAGCTTGAGCTTATTGGATTGGGAAGGCGGGGGTTGTGATGGCACAAAACTTGACCCAATTATGTGGTTCGGCAATCTTGTTATATTGAGCCATTCCGTTGGCACGTTTTTTCTCTATGAGCCTTGATGCTCTTTTGCAGGGGAAATGATCTTGGCAACATACGGAACCTAACTCGACCAGCGCCATGAGTCGGACCAACGCCAATGGAGGTGGATAACCTACAAGGGGCAAGGCCTACCGGAGTCCAGTGCCACCGGTGCAAGGGATATGGACACTTCGCAAAATTATGTGCAACGAAACTGCGGCCTGGAGAGCACTCTACGACCAGCCGGGACGTCAGATGTCATAGCATGACTAATATTGAGAGCCATCAAGACCGACATGGAGACCGGTCTGAGTCATACTGCAGGAACACGTGGGAGGCACGTGCTGGCACACTAAAGCTACCAAGCTACTTCGGAAAGCTGGAGGGACGCACCATCCGAGCCCTGGTGGATTCTGGGGCTACGGGCAATTTTGTGGCGAAAGGAATACTATCAGAGGAAAGTAAACGAAGGTGCCACATGACGACCAGCGATTTAGATGTCACACTAGTGGATGGAAGTAAGGTGGAGGACATTGTGAGGTGTCATGGACTGAGGCTCGTCATGGGAAGCTGTAAAATATCCCTAACTATGGTGGAAATACCGCTGGGGACCTTCAACCTGATTCTAGGTCTGCCATGGCTAGAAGAAGTGGAGCTCAAAATCGATTGGATCACCCGTGAGATGACTATAGGCCGAGATGTCATACGACCGGTGATGGCGGCTACACTATACCAAACGTCACCATGGAA